AAGCACTGAGATACTATGACAGTAGATCTGTAACTCAGATGGCTACTAAGTGACTAAAGGCCAGGGAGTGCATAGAGTGTGGATACGCTGGACAAAGGGACAAGTCAGGACCCAGTTTGGACAGAGCAGGAAGGCATAAGATTTCATCACACAACTCAGAACGGTGCACAAAACTTATGAATTGTTTATTTCTGAAAGTTTCATTTAATATTTTCAGACCACAGTTGACTGCAGGTAACTGAAATAAACTACAGAATAGGGGGATGCTTTACTGGAAACTTTGGGAATACTGAAAAGGGAAACCCTTGGAAGGATTGAACTTCCTGCCATTCAGATGGGTGGGGGTGCAGAGCTTTCCTACACTGAGATTTTTTTTGGAGCGTTTTACATGGAATCTACCAAGTTGAATGTTGTCAGATATTTACACCAATATTTACATTGATTAAGATATGCATCTGACAGATTATGCTTTCCAGAAATGGCCACCACAATATCACCCATCCCACATGTCCCTCTGTGATGCAAACTTGCCACACCCCACCAGGAGGTGGAGCTTATTTGCCCCTTGTATCTGAATCATCCAATGTCTACTTTAACCAGCAGAATACAGCAAAAGTGATATTGTGCCAGTTCTGGGCATAGCTTTTAACTGTCCTGATAGCTTCTGCTTCCCAACTCTTGGAACGCTTGCCCTTGGGATATCCCTTTCAGAACCCAGCTATGTGTTAACTATATTTTCTTATTTTCTGTTTTATTGATGCTCTGGTATTTGGGGTCTTGATCCTCCAACGGTTAGCTAATTTGTACAGCCTCTCTTATGAGTGTGTCTTTGATGCACAAATGTTATGCAAAGAGCTGAAGTTTGGGAAAACCTCAGCATAATGCTTGCCGATTCCAAAGAAATAACTGAAAGGCTGTGAAAGACATGGGTTTACTAGGACTTACATGCACACTGGGGGTGGCCAGCTGGTGAAGTTTTTCTTGCACCCCAACTTTTCCAGCACAAGGTTAAAGTACAGAAAGCAAAGAAGAACAGGGCATGCAGGGGGAGAGGGATGTATTTGCTAGCCGAGTGAGATTGAAATGCTATTTTCTTGACTGAGGCGTTGACCAGGCTCCCAAGTTCTCACAGTTCACTTCCTGATGTCCTTCATTGTCTTTCCACAGGGTAGGAGGGGGAGTTGGAGCATGGGAAGGGGCCCATGTTCTCACATACTATACAACAAATCAACCAATCCAACTTCCAACCATCTCCTCTATCAAATTCTCACATACCAAACCAATATTCCCCCTGACCTAATCATCTCAGGTACCAGACAACAAAGGACCACCCCTATAGCCAGAGCCTACAAAAATTATTCAAATTATCCAATCCTAAACTTACTCAGCCTACTATCCTGCCTCACCCTTCCTGCAAAAATTCCAATAAAGAGCATGTTCTCCTCCCCACCCTTTCTGCCTCCTGAGTGACCCCAGTACTTCCTCGGGTGGCCCTGCATGATGTTTCTATGAACCTAGAGTGAGTATAAACTTCCTCCCTGACAATCATTTCCTTGTCTGCATGTCTTACCATACCTGATTGAAACAAATCCTGGTACAGCTACCATGCTTTGAGAAGTCCAAGTCACATAGAGAGGCCACATGAAGGCACGACAGCCAGTGACCCCACCTGAGCTCCCTGACAACAGCCTGTGTCAGCTGCCAGCCATGTGAGTGAGCCCTCTTGGACATTCCACACAGAAGACCACAGCTCCGGCCAACTTCTGACTGCAGCTGCATTGGAGACCACCAGTGAGAACCACTGAATAATAAATTGTGTTTTTAACCACCCTGTCTGGGATGGTTTGGTACGCAGCAGCAGACAACCAAAACCTGCATGATGTTCTTTCAGTGGAGGGTCAGCTCCTGTAGTATTAAGTTCCCATGAATGGTACAGTAGCTCCTTGCTATCAGAGATTGAGCATCCCCTGGAGGCTTGTTACAAATGCAGAATTTCAGCCCCATCTCAAACTTACTAAGCCAGAGTCTGCATGTTAACCAGAGCCCCTAATAAATGCACATTAAAGTTTAAGAAGCACTGCTGTAGCAAATATTGACTATACTCTGCCCAGTTCCCTGTGAATCCTTTAAATGGTTCTCTGTGCTCCTCCTGAGCTTCTGTCCAGCTGCTTTACTTCCGAAAGCTTGCACCTGTGATCTTCTTCAGACATTGACCTTGGGTTCCTGGAGCTACTTTGCCTGTACATGCAGACAGTGTCTGGGAGTTTATGTCCCCTGAGGAAGCCCACATGATGATCGCAGTATGAAAGTCCAGTTCTCTTGCCTCAAGGTGGAACAAACTTTTAAAGTGTAATTTTCTCCAGTGTTGTCCAGGATCAGTTTGGAAATTGGACTTTGCCTGAAATTTCACTCTTAATTCACTTCCTCCTCCTCTCTGTCCTGCTTCCCCCAATCCCTTTCCAATTTCTCTTAGAGGATCTTCCTTAATCAGTCTCAAACACATGAACCTTCATCTCAGGGTTTGCAACAGCACATAGGACAGGTAACAGGAACATTTCACCTAATCGAAACTTAGCATTGCCTATCATATCCTAGTCACACAGGTCGTAGACACCGCTAACACACTAGAAAGACAGGATTGGGTGGGGAAAGGGGTGGGAAGGAAAAGGAGACAGTGAAACTAGACAATGCTTTTGAAGAACTTTGCAATAGAGAGAAACTAAAAAAATGATGCAGTAATTGGAGAGAAATGAAAGTGTGTTAATTAAGTTACTGTGTAACCCATTACTCCAAAACTTAGCAGCTTAAAACAACAAGCATTTACTATCCCATGCAGTTTCTGTGGGTCAGGAACTCCTCAGGTTGGTCCTGGCTCAGAGTCTCCCATGAAGTTGCAGTCAAGATGTCAGCCAGGGCTACAATCTCACTGAAGGCTTGAGTGGGGCCACAGGACCTGATTCCAAACTCACGCAAGTGGCTGCTGGCCAGAGGCTTCAATTCCTCTCCACTTGGGCCTCTCCGTAAGGTTACTCATGGCATTGCCTCCTCTAGTGAGTGATGAGAGAGACAGGTGTTTGCCAATGTGTAGGCAGGAACTGGGAAGGTCATACTGCTCATAGCTGGCAAAAATCCTTTACTCTTGGGAGTGGGATTGAGGAGCACAAGACATTGGAAGGATGAAGACAGACTTTCATTTTATATGCTTCTGAATCCCTTCTGTAATTTTAAAACATTAAAGGAGAAAGCTTAAATGAATTGCCAGTAGTTCGTAATGAATAAAGCTAAGTCCACTGCAAAAATATCTATGAGGAGAAATGACAAGGATAGGAAATTTGAATTGGGTCATAAAAAAATAATGTGGATGATTAAAAAAATATGTGGATGATCTTAGAGGCATGTATCTGCCCCATAAAGGAGTTCTGGAAGCACACTGTGAGCTCTGGAATTGCTGCTGACCCCACGTGGGGTGGGATTCCTGCCTCCACTAAGAAAGCCCAAAACATTCCAGGACCCCTTTTTCCCCTTTTGTTTGCCCGACCACCATAGGAGGACATCAGCTCTGACTAGCTCTACACGACCGTCTTTCACCATCTGTCTGTCTGGGACTTGACTACCAGCTTTCTGGTCTGATCTTCCTAAATACCTCAGGCTCCTGCTTCCTCTGGCATGGCATGACCATTTGCTTTGCATGTAGGATCCTGACTCCTCCAGCAGAGACAACAGCTGAAACAATTCAGCCCCCCGTTCCAACATCAATCCCTAAAAGTAAGAACAGGTGAGAGGTTTAGTCTTGCTCCAGAAGTGCACCTGCCCTCTGCAGGTGGCCCTGCTAGAGAAATAGCCACATTCCCCAAGTTCAAGGGGCAAAAGACCCATCTTGAGCCTCCCCCCCTCCCCCAACAGTCTCTGGAGCTGACTGCCAGGCAGAAGAGTGTCAAAGGCAACATCACTCTCAGTGTGACCCGTGGCTCAGAAGCCTCCTCTCTCCGCATGACAGGCATGCAAGGCCCCTCCTCATACACCGGTAGGGCGTGACTCTGGGGGAAGCAGGGACTACAGAGGCTTGTGGAGATGCCAGCACCTTAGAGATCTGCACCTGTGTCAGGATGGTAAGAGAACAGAGGACTAGGTGGCCAGAAGTGAGAGCCACGTGACATAAGGAAAGTACCCAGAGATTGAAGAGCTGGTCAGGTAGGACTCAGCCGGGTGGTTTCTAGTGCCCCCTTAGACAGGGGCAGAGGAGCCTCCGCAGGGTCCCTGACTTAGATCCGTGCTCTGAGCAGTGCCGGTCCACAAACGGCCTGCTACTGGTTCTTGATGACTTACACACAGAAACTGAGAGTGATTTTATATCTGTTGAATCTTTTCAAATCTTGTTTGCATTTCATGTGGATTTTTTATTTCACATTCCTAGTGATTTATTTTTATTGGATTTTTATAAAAGAATTGCTTTGTTAAAAGAATTGGGTAATTAAAAACCAATCCTGCAGCACAGAAAATTTACAAAGCCCTGCTTTAGAAGGTCCCACATATCACAAACACACAGAAAATAAATGATTACTGAGCACATGGGACCTGATGCTCACACTAGCAGAGTGCAGCCTGCAAGTAACACCATCAGGCCTCCGGAAATGCCGCTCCTCAGCTTTTGCTCAACGTCCTCAACACAAAAGGCAACTCTGTCTGAGTGTTTCTAAGCCTTCTGGGTTGTGCTTCTGCCAGCATCAGAAACAACTCTGCTTCACAGAGAGAGGAAGATTTGAGTGGCAGAAGCACTTAGGTAAGAAAAAAAGCACATTAATTAACTTGTCAAATCCTTTTTCTCAGGTAGCATGAATGCAGTAATTTCTCTTTTTTAATATGTTTTATTGATTTTTAGAGAGAGAGGAAGGGAGAGAGGGAGAGAGAGAGAAACATCAATCGGCCGCCTCCTGCACACCCCCTACCAGGGATGGAGCCAGCAACCCGAGCTTGTGCCCTGAGCAGGAACGGAGCTGGCGACCTCTCAGGTGCATGGGACAAAGCTCAACAACTGAGCCACACCGACCAGAGCAGAGTCTTCACTCCCAGTAGGGCCACACGTCCATTCTCGTGCTTCTCTTTGTGCTCCAGTTCGTGGTCTTGACAGTTGCACATGGTGGCTAAGGAACATTGTACAATATTAACACTTTATTTTACCTTTTAATCTGCACATATGTAAGTAGAGAAGTAACATGTGACATTAATCCTTTATTCACATCACTGCATGAATCTGGATATTACTTTAAGACACAGTGAAATTTACAATGTAAGAGGTAGAAATTTATATTGTGAAATTGAAACATTTTGTAATATTTTCTGTAATGATAATTTGTCTCATGCAACTCCATTAAAATATATGAACAGGGTATGTACAATTCATGGTTCACTTCCAAATTTAAATATTGTTTTTAAGATTTTGATGACAATCTCACTTATTACTAAAACTTTCTCCAAGTTGAAATTAGTTTTTAAAACCATCTAAGCATTACATTGACTCAAAAAAGATAGTCTGATTTATCATCAATAGAATATAAATTGGCAAACATCTTGATTATAAAACATAAGTATCTTTGCAATAAGGAAGGCAAAAAAATTAATAAAAAATATGTAATAGTTTCTGATTTATGTGTATATTGATTTTATTACTTGTCCAAATATCACCAATCAATCAATGGGATATCCAAATTTGTGTAAAAATAATTCAATTCTGTTATCTTTACCGCATTGCCAATTTCCATTCATATGACAATCATATAAAAAGTTTTTTAAAGTGTATGTGGTTTTTATATGAAAGTGTGGACCTCCATTTAGTATAGGGGCCTGCTTAGAGCTGCCCTGCTAAGCTAGGCCAGAGCTGCTGTCCACCAGCCGACTGAACATGTGACATTAATCCTTTATTCACATCACTGCATGAATCTGGATATTACTTTAAGACACAGTGAAATTTACGATGCAAGAGGTAGAAATTTATATTGTGAAACTGAAACATTTTGTAATATTTTCTGTAATGATAATTTGTCTCATGCAACTCCATTAAAATATATAAACAGGATATGTACAATTCATATGTACTGTTAGTGAGTTCACTCCACATTTTAATTCACTAAGAGAAAGAGAGCATCGGGTGGGTAGAGAAGTGGCTTGAACACAAACATCAGAAGGGAGATGTGCTTTTTAGAAATAATAGACATGGTTTTTTATTTGCAATTGATCCCATGTCCCATTTATTCCTCAATCAACAGAGATTTTTGCCTGGCTTTGGCTTAAGCCACTGTATGTATGACTGACAGTGGATGTCTGTAAGAGCCACCTTCGTCAGTGACCCTCCTTTGTTGGTGTCCCTTCTTTGACCTTGGAGGGACAGGATCTGAGCCCTGCTGAGAGGCAATGCCTCTGTCCCAGATGGGATCACTGCTGCTGGCCAAGGGCAGGAGGCAGACAGCTTCCAGTCATCCACATTGTCCACCCTGCCCCGTACTGCAGGTGGAGACCTCCTGCTGACTGAGAAGACCACAGTTTACCCCAGGACCTCTGGACCATGAGCCCTAAGGGAAAACTCTGTCACTTACACTATTTCTCTGCTGAGAGGCATTTGCTTTGTTTCCAGGGTATATGTGTGTGTATCCACACACACAGGCACCATGCATGGACCTCTATGATCAGTACTGCAATAGACAACTCTTGTTCAAAGGCCCTAAAATGAATGCTTTCATTTCTCTGGAATATATTCCCAGGTGTGAGATTGCAAGGTCAAAGGGCATATGTATTTTTAATTTTAATGGGGTTTTCCAGATTGATTTCTAAAAAGGCCATAATAATTTACATCTCTACCAGCAATGATTAAGAGCACACTTTCCCCCCACATGCAATAGATGTGGACAATCTTTTTAATTTTATCAGCCTGAAGCGTCCAAGCTAGTGCCTTATTAGTTTAATTATTTTAATTCTGAATTCTAATAAATTTGAAAATATTTTCATAAAGTTGGGTATTTTTCTTCTCTGAATTGCCTATTCATATCGTTTTGTCTATTTCTCCATTGGGTTGTGTGTCTTAGCAATTGATAAGAGCTCTTTGCATATTATAGCTATCAACCTGTTTATCAGCTGCATTACAAATATTTTTTTCCAAATCTAATGCTTGTCTTTTGACATTGCCTACAGTATCTTTTGCCTTAAAAATGACTTAAATATATGTTTATATATGTAAAAAAGGCAAAAATATCTATCTTTTTGATCTCCTAGATTTCCAACCTTGGTTGAGAAGGTCTTCTAACCTCTTGTTTATATAAGACCTCCTTGCCAAATTTTTTTTTTTATATATATCTTTTATTGACTTCAGAGAGAGGCAAGGAGAGGGAGAGAGAGAGGGAAAGAGAGAGACAGAAACATCAATGATGAGAGAGTCATTGATCGAGCCCACAACCCAGGCATGTGCCCTGACCGGGAATCGAACCCTGATCGTCTGGATCCTAGGTCGACACTCAACCGCTGAGCCACGCCCGGCCGGGCCTTGCCAAAATCTTTATTGAAAAATTTTATAGATATGAAATAGTGCACATATTTTTATGAGTCCATGAATTTTTACAAGTGAACATACTCAAGTAACAGGGACCCAGATCAAGAAACAGAACACTCTCAGCACCCTAGACTCTCTTTCGTGTACCCTGCCAGTCAATACCCTTCCTAAAGATGAACTTTGGCTGGCTAGAGGGACTCAGTTGGTTGAGTGACATCCTGTGCACCAAAGGGTTGCTGGTTTGATTCCCAGTCAGGGTACATACCTGGGTACCTACAGAGGGCAACTGATTGATATTTCTCTCTCTCTCTCTCTCTGTCTCTTTCTGTCTCTCTCTGTCTCTCTCTGCATGTCCTCTGGTGAGAATTAAAAAAAAAAAAAAAGATTAACCTCTACCCTGACTTCTAACATCATAGGTTAGTGTTTGAACTTTGTTTAAATGAATCATCATATGTACTCTTTTGTGTCTAGCTTCTTTAACTAACATTATGTTTGTGAGATTCATTCATGTGATTCGCTCATTCTCATTGCTGTGTGGGATTCCTTTATAGAAATTACCACACTTGATCTGTCTTACTGTTGATGGGCATGTGGGTTGCTTCCAGTTTGGGACTATTACAAATCGTGTTGCTATAAACATTCTTTTACATATTTTTGGTGAATTTATGTCTGCATTTCTGTTGGATATTTGCCCAAGAGTATAAATGCAGGGTCACAGGGTATGTGTATGTTCACTCTTTTGTAGATACTGCCAGTTTTCCAGATGGTTGTACCAATTACACCCTCACCAGTAACGTAAGAGATGTTTTAGTTGCTCTATAACCACCCAACATTTGGTTTCATCTGACTTTTTATTTACGGCATTCTAGTGACTATATGCTAGTGCTGCACTGTGGATTGTTTTGCCAGATTTTTAGTATTTTTTACATTTTAAGTCAATCCATCTGGAATTTTATTTTTGTATATGGTAAGATAGAAGTCCACTTTGACCCTATTCCAGACAGCCAGCCAGATGTGCCAGATTAAACAACCTGTCTTTTGCCCTGATGTCTTGAGGAATAAGTGGACATGTCCCAGGTAGAGTGGAGCCGGGGAGAGCACTCCAGGCTGACGGAGCTGCGTGAGCTGCATGGGGGCATGAGGCAGCATGCCGTGGCTAAAATGAAAAGTGTGCCTTAGCAGGAGGCACAGGAGGGCCTTGGCCGGTGTGGCTCAGTTGGTTGAGCATTCTCCCATGCACTGGAGGGTTTTGGGTTAGATTCCTGGTCAGGGCACATACCCAGGTTGCGGGTTCGATCCCCGGTCGGGGCGCATACGGAAGGCAACTGATCGATGTTCCTCTCTCACATCGATGTTTCTCTCTCTCCCTCAGTCAAGGATAAAATTTTTAAAAAGGCACAGGAGGGTTGGCAGAGAGCGATCTTACCATTCTTGCAAGAGGACCCAGGCTCAGGGCTGCTGTTGAATGAGATCATCCAAGAAAAAGGACCCTCTCCACTTTGGATATTTGGGAGCCTTCTTTGAGATCCTCATTTTGAACAGTGTGATTATCAAAATGTTACTCATAGGGGAGGGTTAACAGAGGCACTTACAAATATTATTTCATTTAATCCTCACAATGATTTTGTGAGGGAGGCACTATTAACCTCGATTTACAGATGAGGGCATAAGGCTCAGAGAAATCGAGTGGCTTGTCCTCAGTCACACAGCTGGTAAGAGCTGAGACTGGACCCAGGTCTGCCTCCTTCCTGAGTTCCTGCTCTTCCTTCCCAACACCGTGCTGGCACTGGCAGTGGACTGTGAATGGGGCTTCCAGTCACTTCCCAAATAATGGAGCGTGTGAGGAAGCAGAGACTTATAACCATTATTTCGGGCCCTGCAAAAAGAGCCTGTTAGTGGCTGTTTTCTCTTCCCCAGTCACACAGAGTGGTTGATTTCTTGAGAAACAGTCACTGTTTTAGGCAGAAATGAACTGTCCGGCTGAAAGGCATGCAGAGTCAGACTGGGGTGACTGCTCTTGGGCCCATGGACAGGCTGTGTGGGCCTGTGGGAAGCAGGGAGCAGTTCACTGGAAGCAGCAGAGTATGGTGAGAGATAGCACAAAGCTCCCTCTGTCCTCCACCCCTTTCCCGCACACTGTTCTGGGTTCCACAAGGTCCAGCTGCTCTTCTTTTCCCAGTTGGGAGAGATATACGTCCTACATTAGCCCCCCGGGAACCTGTGCTGTCGTGGGCAAGTCTCTGTTCCCCACAGCCAGGGAGATGTGAATACTCACTGACGTGAGCACGCTGGCACTCAGAGACAGAGGTCACATACAGTCTCCACCCTGACAGAGCAGAGCCAAACACCCACCTGCAGAGAGCCTGCCTCCTAGAGCATGAGAAACCAGAGAGAATCAATCTAGCTCAGGGTTTCAAATTATGCAGGCAAGTCATTCTGCAGAGGGAAGTCACACAAATAATAAAGCAACTTCCCACCACGGGGAAGATTCGAACTGCTAGAGATAACTGTAGAAAAGTACACTGAACTTAGGAGGTGCAATCAGTTCCCTCTATCAGATTTACAAAGATTTAAAATTTTGATAATACCCAGTGTTGATGGAAA